TCTGACCAAGTGAGGGTAGGCCCGAACTTCCGGATGATCTATTGGGAATGGGTTACACTATTTCCAGGATAGCGTAGAGGGAAATGAGCTCTCAGAGAATGCATGACGTACTATAGTTCTCTATAATCAACACTGTCGCATTCCGAGCGAATATATCAGTAAATTATATCATGTCTTGTATAGCAAAGCCATAAGCTACATTTAAAAAACCTGTCAGACTCATTCAAGGAAAAATGAGAAAAGGATCCGTTCAGGAAGGAAAAATTATTATACTCTTGAAGTAAGACGAAAGAAAGTCAAACATCGGCAGTACTTTCGAACAGAAGAGACAATAACAGGTTTGGTACTATCTGCATAAGGATTATCAGATCCGATAATTCGTCTTCGGATCTTTGCTCTGTCAACGTAAGAAAAAGACGAGGACGGCAGGATATGCTGTGGGTTTGAGGGGCCCTAGAAGCTGGCCATCAAAATTTTATCGCGGACAGCTGCGAAACAAACTTACCGTTAATCCATATTTTTGTTTCAGAAGCCTCAGCTCTTTGCGTCGCATCTTTTCCCTTCCAAGCTTTACAGTGCACAGCGTGGCTTCTAAAATCCAGCCAATTAATGACGTTAACGAGAAAAAATATATTCGACGAGAATAAGACCAAATATTGTAATAAAAGAATATATTACAATTACCACTTAACTACAAAGAATCGTCTACAAAAAAAAATTAAACCAAGGCACTGCATGAGACAAGAAGAGGGCCTGGGAGATACTTGAAGTTTAGATAAAATAACCTGAATTACGTCTGAATCGCTGAATATGCTATCATATCTTAGCGGCTGGGCCCAATTTCCCACGTGCTAAATCACGTGATCACTGCACTACCGTAAAAACTTGATTTAAGAATTACTTTCAGACATCCGTTAGCAAGAGGCTTCAGGAGGCTTTCAGAAACCTAAACTTTATTCACTAACAGACTTGTCATCTGCCAACGATCATAGCATCCCTAAACATGGCACACACAATCTTTTGAAGACATGTTTGAAAAGAAACAAAAGTCGAATCTGTTTATGTGGGAATCTAGTTCAAAAGGACAGAAGATGATAAGCTTCTCAAAACAAAATATTCACACTTATGGATCATACCTACTCTCCATTAGGAAGTGAAATAAGACAAAACAAATCACTGGTTAATGAAAAGATTAAAAGAACCAAATTCAAACTTTGATTCGTGCGCTGAAGGCAATACTGAAACAACGCAAAACACGGTTTAATTACACAAAATGCAAACATAGTCAATCAGAAAATCGAACAGTGCCGACTTCCGGCCGGTAACTCATAGTAAACTTCGAAAGTAGAGAGGCAGG